CCATTTACTTAGTTTCATTCACATATTTGTTAATAACATTGACTGCTACATATCTTTTTAAGGTAACAATTAACATCGTTTCCATGATTGTGTGGTTCTCATATTGTAATAATTTTTTAGATGAACTGATGATGCTTTCAAAACTCGAAAGCGAAACGTCTTCAAAATAGATAAAGTAGCCTATCAACTTTGTCTTTTATTTCTCCACCTAGAGACCGATATAAGAACCCACCACTCGTCTGAGTGATCCTTATATATATATATATATATATATATATATATATATATATATATATATATATATATATATATATTGTTGTATATATATATATATATATATATATATATATATATTGTTGTTTTGGCTCCCTTAAAGAATATTTAACGAACAGGGGGAAATTACTGAGACATAATTATCGCAAGGTCTATCTCTTGAAAAGGGAGGCAATTATAATACGGAATTTAATTTAAGCGGAAGCAGCCACCTTTCGCCGATGAGAGCAGGAATATGCCGGAAGATTTTTTCGAAATTTCGAAAAAATTGCTTCTTATATGTTATGTACTTATTTTAGTTCTATAAAAAATCACAGAATGAATTTAAATATTATATTTACACGGGATTAAGCGACCTTTATTGATTGTAATGAAAATCACATTTTTAACTACCTAGTGAGTGACGTTTCGACTTCCACTGTATAAATCGTCCTCAAGAAGATTACGAGTAATATAAATATCTTTTTAAACCTTGGCAGAATAAATATTTCATAACTATGCTCAACGGCATGGATTTAAAAACTACCGTCCTACTTGTATTGAAACAAAAAATTTAAGTGAAAAACCGAGTAAGTCAGATACAGGATTTGACAATACACTACCTTAAATACAAATTATGTAAATAATATACCTTAAAACCTACTGTCGCAAAAAATCAAGGATATGTGCTGTTAAGTACTTACACCTTGTGATGTTGCTTCTGGCATTTTTGATTATTGATGCCATTGATGATTGATAATAGCCAAAAAATAAATGTAATCTTCTAGTGCCGTCTTCACTAATGAAGGTTGCCTATAACCATTGCAAATTCGTCTCTATCTTTTGCTTTTCTTAATAGCGTATGTGTGTTTAACCCGGTCCAGTCTCGAATGTTTTTCAGCCAAGATATTTGTCGTCTACCAGGACCCCATTTTCCTTCGATTTTACCCTTCATAATCTGCTGCAACAATTCGTACTTATCATTTATAAGTATGTGCCCCAAATACGCTGTTTTTCGACTTTTAATGGTAGTCAAAAGTTCTCTGTCTCTTCCCATTACTTGCAACACCATGTGGATATATCATTTTACCAGATTGAGTCGTTCGTTACTCAGAAATTTCCTCATCTTCAAAAAGTGTGCTCTTGATTGCTCTATTCTTGAGCAAATTTATGATTTCGGATTCAGATCTTCTGTAATCCAGACTCATAAGTATTTCATTTTGTCCACTTGATCAATATCTTCATTTTTATCTGAATCCTTGAAATGACTTTGCCCCTCTTACTGATAACCATGGTTTTTGTTTTCTTTATGTTTATTGTTAAACCAAACTGTTCTCCAGTATCACAAATTATGTTTAGTATAACGTCTGCAGAGATGATTACTGGAATCTGACAATACGGTAATTGAAAAAAAAAAAGATTCCGAAAGCAAAACTACATTAATTTTATTATCGAAAATGTATTTTTCAAAGTGACCTTTATTACACAAAATTGATCTAGCATTCCAGTGCAATATATTTAGGTTACTCATAGTCTGATAGGACTGGCCTTATACTGTCTTTTATATTTTCAATAAGTGTACTATTTTTAATTTCTACAATTTAAAAAGTTAAAATATCTTTGATAAGGTTTAATATTGATTCGCAAGTTATTATCTGTTTATTTAACGTGCTACTATCATCACAACTATTATTATAATTTAATTATATAATTATAATTTGGTATATTTTGAAATTTATTGAAAACAGGTTCTGTTAAAATTTTTGGATTTGAAATGATTCCTTTATGTTTTCGAGTGTTTCATCGATCTATGGCGATATAGCTAACCTCTTTATGTTATTTTTTGCTAAACTTGAAAAACTTCCTTCATGCTTAGAAGAAGCCTGTATGATAAATTTTCATATACCATAGTTCTTTTTAAACTCTTTTGTCTACTAAATTCTGAACGATTTTTTTTTCTGCGCAATGCCTTTCTTTACAATAACTGCATATTAGTTCATTTTTTGGCAACTTTCTACTTTATGATCTACTCCACAATTTTGACAACGTTCTTTTGATTGATCTACAGTGTGTACTAATATGGACGTATCTTAGACATTTAAGACACTGAGTTACTCTTGTCACACATTTTTCGAGTTTATACACCTTTTCTTTTTCTATTATTAGCTTAGTGGGTAAAAGTTGACCTATAAATGTAACTATAATCGTAGTTCTTAGAACAATTTCATTTTGGTCATTTTTACGTGAAATTCTTTTTACCCAACTTACTTCAAAATTATTGCCCAATTTCGGTTTAATAACTTCTTTTAATTCCTGTTTCGATAATTCTAAATCTACTTGCCTTGTGACACTCTTTACATGAATAAAAACATTGGAATATATGCATCGTATTGTTTATCTTTTAATGACTGTTGTTAAAAATTTAATTGCGCTTGTATAAGAAGTTAATTCACCCTTTATTTTATTAGCTCCAATTACTGATATGTTAGCTATATCTTGTATTATGATGAAACATTGGGCCCTAAAACGACCAATATTGGGTTACCACAAGGAAGTATACTTTTCTTAATATATACAGTAGATTTGAAATGTGAAATTAAATGTAGTGAGACCATTTCTATACTACAATTTGCCGATGATATTTGTATCACCATGCCAATATATTGAGGAAGGGTACAAAAAATTAAATATGGCTTATAAGAACCTTAATAAATGGTGCAATGAAAATGATCTAAAAAATTCCAAGAAAAAAACACAAGTCTATATTTTTAGGAGGAAAAGAAAAACATTCCAACCGAAATAACATTGACTATAACAAAGTATAGAGTAGTAGCATCTGTAAAATACCTAGGAATGTATCTGGATAAAAAATGACATGGAAAAATCACATAGATTATGTAATCAAGAAAACAGAAAAAGAAATTAACATCTTATGGTCAGTGTGTGGAACAAAATGGGGATCAGACCAAATGTAGCAATGCTTCTGTACAAATCCTACATTATGTCAATACTGGATTATGGTTGTTTCTTTTATGATCGAGCTTCAAAAGTCGACCAGAAAAATATAGATCACGTAGTATAAGTGTCTAAGGCTCTTCCTAGAGACTATAAAAAAGTACACAAATTGATTGTTTATTTGCCGAAGTAGCCGAAACTCCACTAAAATATCACCAAATGATTTTAGCTTCCAATTTTATACCTAAATTAAGTTCCAAAAAAGTGACGTCCAAAAAATCAATATAATGTTTACATCTGATCTTGCCCATAGTTATTGGAAGTCAAAAACAAGTTTAACTATTACTGACTCATACTAAGTAGGTAATACATAACGTAATAGAAAAATACACTCTTCAGATATTGATCTATTATATAGCATAAATATGTATTTACAACATCCTTTCAATTAACTGTGTTTTTCTCCAAGACTACTCAAAATTTGACACCAAGGATTAGACAATATGTATTTAAGAAAGATTTAGAAAAGTATCTTCCCAGATGTCGACATATATTCACGAATGCATCAAAGAGCAACAAAAAAAGTAGGCTGCGCTATATTTAATTCACATAATAACCAAGAGATCCTTTTAATTAAATGAACAACTTATAATATATACTACAGAATTAATCACAATCCATACTCAGTATACTGTAATCCAGAAAAACCCGTTTACAGTAACACCTTCATAGATAAATATGCGAACTCTTTAATTTTAATGATAATAAATAACCATACTAACAAAAAATAAGAACATATTCTAAGAAATTAAACTTTGATTTTCCCCTATATATTCGATCCAAACATTGCCGATCCTCATACCCCTTGGTCAATCAATATTTCGCAATGTAATGTGTATTTGAGCAAATACAAGTGGAATCCCTCAGTAATAAAAACTATTTTGTCAAATATACTCCAATACTATTTTATTACAGATGCTTCAAAATACAGCAATGGAGTTGCGCCACCTTTGAGATCAACTCAGGTAAATTTATATTTCAACTATATCCCCACTGCAGCATATACACATATGAATTATTCGCTCTTTATCGAGAAATTCAATTTATTAATGATACCAATATCATTAAAGTGATGATTCTTTATAATTATCTTAGTTCGATTACTTCCCATGTGGGTATTCCCAGAAATGAAGAAGAATACTTCAGTGCGCATACTGCAGTGTCTAGTGCGGATTCGAAAATAATATTAAAGTGCGATCTAGAAGACATAAAACTTTCTGTTAAGGCAAAAATCTTTGAAGACTGGCATAACGAATAGCAAAGATCAACTTCTTAACTACGACAAATTAAAGACACTGTTATAGGCACTAAACCGTTTTATAAAAATTGCCATGATCAAAGTGTAGTTAACCAATTACAATTAGGCCATACTAGACCCACACACTCTTACCTATTTAAAAGTAACCCACTAATATGCGAGCACTGCAATACAACCTTAACACTAAAACATATCTTTGAATGTGACTAATTAAAACGTCAACAATCTCTTTATAACATAGATTCAGATTAATCAGCTCTGCTAGGTCAAAATAATATTTCAAAGAACTTAATCGATTATTTAAAAGAAATCAATGTCCATAAGGTTTAATTTTAGAGTTATGAAACATACTCAAATAATTCATCTGGAAAACTATTTTTTAACCAAAACTACTGGAACAACAATTTTCAATGCTTTATTTATATTACTAAATAATTAATTAAATTAATAACTAATAAAAAGAAAATAAAAATACCTGTTCAATCTGTTCCCTAATTCTCTGCTTAGCCAATCTTTCTTCCTCTTTTTCTCTTTTCCTTTGATCAATAATCTTTTTCATTTCTACTTCTTCATGTCGTCTCTTGGCTTCTAACAAATCCTTTCCAGATTTTATTCTATTTTTCTCCCTGAGTAAGGCCTCTTCTTTTTCTTTAGCTTCCCTCTCTAATCTTCTCTGCTTAAGTTTTGCTTCTATTTTAGCAAGCTGTTCTCTTTTCTCTTCATCTGTCAGCGGCCGTTTTTCTTCAGTAGATTCAGAAAAACTTTGATGACCTGTGAAAGAAACATTGACATAAACACATAAAACAGTTTTATGAAATCAGAAGATGATTCTATTATCACATTAACTTATTTTTTTTTTTATTTATTTATATACGGCATCCATTTACTTACAATTTTTACAAAGTTACATCTTAAAAACAATATATTATTAAAATAACAATCACAAGTTTTAAAAAGTTACACCTTAACAACAATAAATTATTAAAATAACAAACACCTCAGAATAATACAAACATATAAGAATAATACAGATGTACAACCAACTTATTGTAAGATATTTTTTAGTTGTTTTTTGAACAAACTAATTTTGGAGTCAAAAATATCTATTTGTCTTGGCAAGCTATTAGCACTCCGGACCAATCGTGTAGTTGGTTCATTGGTACCATAATTAGTGTGGTGAAATGGCACCGAAAAGATTTCTGATTGTCTGTTGCTTCTACTAGGAACTTTATTTTTAGCTACATGTCCTCCAACTCATGTTCTAGCCAACCATATTCTGACAAAAATGATTTTCTAGAATGTATGACAATGTTTTTGTTTTGATTAGCATAAACTAATTCAAACCTAGAAGTTTCAAAATTATATGGCAGTTTTTAAGGGTTTAAATTTAAAAAAAAATTCTAATAACTTTAAAGCTATAGTCAAATGAAGACCATTTTGCATTTAAATCTGATAACTTTATTACTAGTGGACCAAGTAAGCTAAGATATCTTTTACAACATATTTATGCATAACATTTTACTGTTCTGTAGTGTCAATAAGCACTGCTGAACAAGTTTCCGTTTTATTATTTTATTGCAATAGCAGTGAATATAATATAATTATCATATTTATATAGTGAATTTATGATGTTTTAATGATTTTTGTTTAATATCTTGTGACATGTAATGTAATGTAATGATACCCACCATCTCTTCACAGATTTTAAAAGCGCTTATGACAGTGTAGACAGAAGCGCACTTTATAATACCATGGCAAAACTAGATATTCTGTTCAGAAAGTGTACAGATATTGGCCTACGCAGATGACATTGACATAGTAACAAAAAGAGACCTGATACAGGCTTTTGAAACATTAAACATGAAACACACTGACTAAAGGTTTTTCTTTTAAGGCATATTGGTATATCAGACGATTTGAAAATATGGTTCAGCTTGCTGAAGGCTGCCCAAGTCAGTCTTATACAACAGAGAAGCTCAACGGTTTGGTTATTTTTTCCTATGCGGATCTCATGACCTAGGTATTTATAGGCCATTACCTGGTCTGTGAATCTTGTTCCCACGCATATATCTTCGCTAACTACAAGATTTGTCATCATCTGGGTTTTAGATATATTTATTTTCATATCGCCCCTATAGTACATTATTTCTTTGTGGATAACAGTTTTTAGACAACATGAATTATTTTTCTAACAACTATATGTTCTTGTAAAGGCATAAATTTGATTAACTGGTAAACCTACATTACATTACAATACTGTTCAAGAATTAGTCTCCATTCCCCCCTATATTTCGCCCTGGCTTTCCAATTTCTGACCCCTAGATTCCTCAAGTCATCTTCAACTTGAGTTTTGAATCTAGATCTTGGCCTGCCTCTCTTCCTGGTTCCTACTGGCTCTTGATAGAATATCTGTCTATGGGGGTCTCCACTATCCATTCTTTCAAGGTGCCCTAGCCATCTTAGTCTATTAATTTTAATAGCCCGGATGATGTTGCATTTTTTATAGCATTGATACAACTCAAAATTGTAGCGCCTGCGCCATATCCCGCTTTCTTGTACTCCTCCATATATGTATCTAAGTATTCGTCTTTCAAAAACATTGTAATCCATTTTTAATTAAACTGAGGCCTTCAGTCAAGTTTTCAACCATCATCCCCTGTTCTGGATCCAAACAATGAAGCTCTTCAATATCTTGCACATACATTTCTACTTCATCATCAATTTCTACTTGCATTTCTACTTCATCATCAATTATCAATTTCAGTTCATCAATTATCAGCTCCTGATTGTGGGAATCCAACAGTTCTTGAATGTCATCACTATCAGCTTGTAAATTTATTTGCATGGTAATATTAACTGCTTCTTTAATTGCATTACTAATTTCATCAGGCTCTGGTCAATTCCACCTTAGTATCACTGATGAAAAAAAAAGCAGGCAGTTTTTTTCCTGACACCATTTAACATTTCTTGTGAAATTTCATTCCAAAATCTTCCAATGATTTTCAGTGCATCTAAAATGATGAATTATGTCTAAAAGTATTTTAACAGAGATCTCATTGTTTTTCTTATAACTTCATGCAGTATTGTTCTGAAGCTATTTTCTTGTGGCATTTTAAATTAATTACTATTTAACTGGGAATAAGCCACAATTAAAGATAAAAATATGTTTATTGACGTTTCAATTTCCACTTCGGAAATCGTTCTCAAAATACAAACAGTAAATTAAACAAATTTTGTTTGTATTTTGAGAACGATTTCCGAAGTGGAAATTGAAACGTCAATAAACATATTTTTATCTTTAATTGTGGCTTATTCCCAGTTAAATAGTAATTAACTTCATGTAGGTGTGCAAATGATCATCTGGTGTAATAAGCTTTGAGATATTGTTCTGAAGCTATTTTCTTGTGGCATTGTAAATTAATTACTAATAAACTGGGAATAAGCCACAATTAAAGATAAAAATACGTTTATTGACGTTTCAATTTCCACTTCGGAAATCGTTCTCAAAATACAAACAGTAAATTAAACAAATTTTGTTTTTTGTTACATAGTGAAAAATTCTTCTAATAATTTAATTTTATCTGACTCATTTATATTGACAATTCAGACATACATTATGCATTTTAAAGTAGATGACTTTAAAATGATATTGCCAATATTGTTGAGTTGCGCTCCTGGGACGACTTTACTTATAAGATAGTTCATTCGATTACATGAAATCAACTTTAACTTGAGAATATCCGTCAGAAAAAATCATAGCATGTAATTCGTCTTTAAAAAGACAAACACATGACATGATGACAGTAAAATTCTCCTGTTAGTGATTCCATAGTAAATTATGAGGGAAAACCAGGAAAAAACCTCATAATACTATCCCGACATTGTAAGTATTTGTTCGTGAATTTAGTTTACCTTCAACAAACATCAAAATTCTGATTTTATATGTTACGTTATTTAAAAAACATAAATGAAGTATCCTCTATATGTTACTGACTTACTAATGCTGGTATTTTCTTATTAATAACTTCCTTTTTCAATATTGGTAACCAGATGGTTTTATAATTCAAATGTAGTCCTAAAAGAAACGGATGGTAAAAAAAGAAAAATCAAAGAAGCGGCTCTAATTATGTTAAATGAGGCCAATTGTGTCGCAAATTCTTCGGCAGAATGTAGTAGGATCTGGTTACCAATATTGAAAAAGGAAGTTATTAATAAGAAAATACCAGCATTAGTAAGTCAGTAACATATAGAGGATACTTCATTTATGTTTTTTAAATAACGTAACATATAAAATCAGAATTTTGATGTTTGTTGAAGGTAAACTAAATTCACGAACAAATACTTACAATGTCGGGATAGTATTATGAGGTTTTTTCCTGGTTTTCCCTCATAATTTACTATGGAATCACTAACAGGAGAATTTTACTGTCATCATGTCATGTGTTTGTCTTTTTAAAGACGAATTACATGCTATGATTTTTTCTGACGGATATTCTCAAGTTAAAGTTGATTTCATGTAATCGAATGAACTATCTTATAAGTAAAGTCGTCCCAGGAGCGCAACTCAACAATATTGGCAATATCATTTTAAAGTCGTCTACTTTAAAATGCATAATGTATGTCTGAATTGTCAATATAAATGAGTCAGATAAAATTAAATTATTAGAAGAATTTTTCACTATGTAACAAAAAACAAAATTTGTTTAATTTACTGTTTGTATTTTGAGAACGATTTCCGAAGTGGAAATTGAAACGTCAATAAACATATTTTTATCTTTAATTGTGGCTTATTCCCAGTTAAATAGTAATTAACTTCATGTAGGTGTGCAAATGATCATCTGGTGTAATAAGCTTTGAGATTTACAAAAAACATGAAATTGGATAACAGATCAAATCCATGCTGTTTTACATAAAAATAGATAGAGATACATTGCCTTTTATTCTTCTTCTCCAGGGAAAAAGGAATGATATCCAGTTCATATCCTTTTTGTATTATTCCTTTTTAGAAGGTGTAATCCACAAAATTTAATCATGGTATTGAATTTCATAACTATTTAATATCTTAATAGAAACCAGACACTGTTTAAAAAAAACAATACTTTTTTTTAGGTTGCAGTCATTAGTTTAAAGGACAGGATAAGAGAAATTAGGGATGTACAGGATCAGGTGCCCAGGTACCTAGTCAATCTGGCCAGAACTGGAATTTCTACAGCTAGCCGTTTAAACTTTAGATGCAATAAAATATTATACTTTAGCTTCTAAATTACAAAATTTCATTATATATGCAAATTCTGCAGATCTATAGATATAACAAAATATTTATAAAGTTGGCAATATCAATGCAGAGCTTTCAAATCATTATGTTGCTTCAATTGCAGTAAATAGGAGAATTTCCTATCCAGTTCTGGAGTGGGAGATTTTTCAAATTCTTTCAGGTTTTTACAATTCTCCAAATTTTGGTCAGATCATGCATGAAACTGACCTGACAGGAGGGGGAGTTCCTGCCAATTGGCTGGATCAGTCTTGATTAGTGGTACATCCAGAAATTCAGTACATCTTTAAGAGAAACGCTTTGTTAAACCCCTAGCTTTCACAAAATTTTATTTACTTCTTAAGGATAAGCTAAAATAAATTAAGACAAAAGAACATTCTTCCACATCATCATTATCATTCTGGCTTTACAACCCTGCATGTGTCCTAGCCTCCTCAAGAATGACTCTCCAGTCGTCCCTATACCCAAGAGATTAAATGTCGCATCTGAAAGGCCAAAAGTGCATTCTTGACTATGAGCTCTGTGTTCAAAAGCCATGACCTCACCCTGAAAACAAAAATAAGGCTCCTTAAGTTGTTAAGCTCCTGTTATGTGTACTCAGTGCTTCTGTATGGAGTAGAAACGTGGACATTGAAGGCGGAAACTATATCAAAACTTCAGGATTTTGAATTATGGTTATACAGAAGAATCCTGAAGATACCATGGACAGACAAAGTCACCAATGACGAAGTACTGTGGAGGATGAACACAACCGCAGATTTGGTCAACATTGTGAAGGGCCGTAAGCTGGAGTACTTGGGACATATAATGAGAAATCAAGGCAGATATGAGCTACTCCAATGCATTTTGCAGGGTAAAGTTGAAGGAAAAAGAGTCCCAGGACGGAGAAGAATATCCTGGCTTGCTAACCTGAGAGCATAGTATAGAAATACCTCAACACAGCTATTTCGTATAGCTATCAATAAAATCATTATAGCCAGAATGATCGCCAACATTCGGAACGGACAGGCACCCTAAGAAGAAAAAAGGTCCCTATCCATCACCATCACCTTCCTTTGCCACATTCTTTCACAACACATTAAAATTAAATTTATTTAAAATTCAATCTGTCAGAAAAAAACTCGTCTGTGTTATTATTGCAAGTGTGTTGATAACTAGTTTTTCTATTGTTAAATACCTGCACACTGTAACAGTGTTGAAAATTGTATGGAGTAACCTCGTGTTTTTAAGTTTTTATTGTTGTTTTATAATATTCTCACTTATCAATTTCATTGTATTTACTGAAGAAATGGTAATTATTTAGTAAGCTGGAACGCCTCAAAAATGCCCAATTTTTTGTGGACTTAGCCAAAAAAGTAAAAAATAAACCTCAAATTTTAATGTTTTCTTTGCTGTAAACTAGTAAAAGTGCCCAAATAATCAAAAAATACAGAAAAACTAACAAAAAAAGTATTATGAACAAAAAAAAATTACATAAAAAGCAAAAAAAAGTATATATACTTGTCTTGACCATAAGAAACAGTTGTCATTCCTATAATTTCTTGTTGTTTCATGGTAAATAATGGTGGTGGCTTTTAAAACTCGGGCATATTTTAAATGGAAATTATGTAAAAATGAATGTTTTGCACGGAATAAAAAAAACATTGCTCAATCATTAGTAAGTGAAGCAGAATACATTGATATAAATTTCATTTCCATAGGCATCGGTCCAGCTTATTACACTAGTACCAAAGAAATAATTTAAAACTTATTTTACCATATCCTAAAGAAGTAAATAGATTTTTGTGAAAGTTATGTTTCTCTGGATATATGACAAAAAGCAAAAAATATGAGTTATATTTATAGTAAAAAATTAATAAACCTGATGTTTGCATGATAGTGCGATCCAGTATCAGAAATATATCTCATAATCTAGCTAGGGTGTTAAATTACTGTATGTATAAAAGATTACCTGATTTAGTAGCATGAAATTCAACTTCTTCATTAGTTTTAAACAATTTGCCACATTCATCACATTTAATTGATTTAGCTACAGCTTCACCTTCCTCAGAAACAGCAGTGTCGGAATTGGATTGAGTATTATTATCATTTTCACTAGCAATTTCTGAAGCAGCTTCTGGTGCTTTTGGAGGATCTGCAATTACTGGCATGGCTTCATCCTCTTCGTGAGACAATAGCCATTCCATTACTTGTTGAAGATCATTGCTACCAGTTTGGCTTACTGCTAATTCTCTGTAAGTTTATAATTTAAATTTTACTTATAGGTTATGTGCTAAATGCAGGTAAATACTTACGCTCGTTGCCTACTGAACCCCATTTCTGTTAAACTATCTACAACATTAGACATTTCTGCAAGTTCTGCAATGATTTTCTAACAAAAAATAATGTTTTATGGGAACCCCAATAATTAGATTTTGTCCAGTAATTATTTTTATCAATGATTGACATAGAAAAAAATTTAATATTTGATACTTAAATAAGTGACATTGACATTACTACCATTCTACACGTCAATTTATATGTCGATTTGTATGTTCTGTTTTTATTACATGTTTAGAATAATTACTTTTTTATCTTTAATTATAATCTTATGACAATAAAAATGAGTAAAAATATAATTGGGCCTATTTAAACAACTGAAGTTCAAGAAATTAATATAAGGCCTATAGTAGTGACGTTTTCTATTATCATAGACTAGTTCGTGTCGTGACGATCCGTTCTGCATTTTACTATAGAGAAAAATTAATACAACGTCAGTATAAAAGCTTCGTTTCAAAAATTGGTGCAATAGGCCAAGAACGGTTAACTACATCTTTGTTTAGTGTCCTTGGCAATAGGCGATATGTTCTACTGTAGACTAGCGCGACGCCATAGAATAAATAACAATCAAAATACCCACTACCTAATCTCAGATGCCGCGTTTGAAATTTGTCAGCACGCGATCGCCATTTTTTAGACGGAAACATAGAGACTCGAAACGAGAAATTTGTGACTTGTGACAAGCTACGACAGAACTGTAATTTAAATTTTTAGAGATTAATAATTTAGTACATTTGAAATAAATTAATATATTCTTCAACTAAAAGTACGAATAAAATAGTACATATTATGTTTGTAGTTGCCGTAAATAAATTAAACCGGCTTAATTGTCTATGCACACCAGATAAAATGTCACTGAACAGCACTGATTCCGTTTAAAACATGGCTAATTCCATCTGCGCGAACGAGATGGGCGTACTTATTTTTTTAAGCAGAGTGGACATTCTGATTGTTTATTATTTTGTGGCGACGCTTCATACTATGTTTTCTGTATTTTAAAATTTTAAATATTATTTTTAAAATTAAAAAATTCCTTTATAAATGGTATTTAAACAGAATAATAAACAATCAGAATGCCCACTCTGATTGAAAAAATAAGTACACACATCTCGTTTGCGCAGATGGAATCAGCTATGTTTTAAACGGAACCAGTGCTGTTCGGTGACATTTTATCTGGTGTGCATAGACAATTACCCCGGTTTAATTTATTTACGGCAACTACAAACATAATATGCACTATTTTATTCGTACTTTTAGTTGAAGAATGGGTTAATTTATTTCAAACGTACTAAATTATTAATCTCTAAAAATTTAAATTACAGTTCTCTCCTAGCTTGTCAAAAATTTCTCAATTCAAGTCTATGTTTCCTGCTAAAACATGGTGCTCGCGTGCTAACAAACTTCAAAGGCTTCATCTGAGAGTGGGCATTCTGATTGTTATTTGTATAAAAACCCTATCGCGCTACATCACAGAACGTTTTCAGAAATTCCAGAACTATTCCATCATCAGTGCTATGTGGATTTACATGTTTAAAGTCACTAAATACATGGGTAAAAACCATTTAAATGGAGTTGAATTAATTTTAAATTACATCTTAAGATGTTAAAAAAGTAGGATGTTTAAATTATAAACGGAATTAGCTACATGGTAACGTAGGACTACACTGGGGTTGCTAGCCCATGAAAAAAATTGAAAAAGTTTACATGTTGTAAGACGGACTCTGCTCGTGGAGTAGTAAAATGGGCTCTTCGTGACGATTGTTTTAGCATTTTACTATAAAGAAGAATTAATACAAAGTCAGTATAGAAGCTTTACTTAAGAAAATAACCATCTTAAATTAGTACAACAGGAATTATTTTTCGTATATAGTCTTTTGGGGATTATCAGTTTAAATAAATCCAGGCCATTTAAACATACCGATCTATGATATATACCACAGAATACTCAGTATTCTGTGTATATACTGTCATTACTGTCATCTGTCAAATCAAAGAAACAAAAAACCGTCAATTCAAAATATCAAAGAAAAACTTAAAATTTGAAAAACATTGAAAAGTTTTGTTGAAGTTTTTGGAAAAAGTGATAATAATTTGTTGGGAATTTTAGAATATTTTGGATATAAAGGTTATGGATATCCCAGATGCCAGATTATTGCAAATAGATGAAATAAATTTAAATCAATCCCGAACGAATGAAGAAGAACAAGAGTATTTAGAAGATCAGAAACGTAGAAAAGAAGAGGTAACTATTACAAGAGGTTCCGACTACATTTAAAATTATTTTCTTTTTAGTTACATGCACTATTAGGGGACGAATTAAATGACTATGATGAAAGTACAGTTAATTCCTCTATGGTTTCTGGAATATCTTGCAGTGATACTGAAAATAAATATCTCCAAGCTAGTAACCAACATGAACAACTGCAAAATCTGTATGAAGTTAGATTGCGAGAATTACAAGCTCTTAGAGAAGAGTACAAAGAAAAGACTGAAGAGTTAACTAAAGAGATCAACACATATAAAAGACAAATGCTATTAATGAAAGCAGAGTTAGAACAAATAAAGGTGTCATATAAAAATAGTGATGATTTATTAGGCATGTATTATAATCATAATGTGCTATTCTTTATTTTAAAACAGCAGTTTCCATACTTTGTGCACTAATGACCCCCTTATAGGTTCTATAGCATACTACTATACATAGTATGTTCTATGATTGTTCAGTTACTGTATTACTTTAGTTGATTTGTGAGCCTAGATATATGAACTCCCTTACTGCTTACAAAGTATATGTTCCAACTGTTAATCATGAGTTTTGCTACTTGCTTATTATTTTTAATCTTCATGTACTTAGTTTTACTAGTATTAACATTTAGCTCATTCTTTTTGCCTCTGCTTCCAATGCTGTGAATGTTGGACCAGGTCTGCCTTTCTTGTTGCTATGCTATCAATGTTGTCCACATATGATGGTATTTGCAGATTAATAATGATTCCCCTTTTTGTTATCCCAGATTCTCTAATAGCTTTCTCTAGGGCAATGCTGAATAGAAGGAACAATAGGCCATCTCCCTGTTTAGGTCTTATCTGTGTCTGGAAAATTCTTGATACTTTGTTCTGCACTCTAAGCTTACACTCTACTGTTGAGAGAGTTTCTTTCACAATTTCACAAGTGTATTGGGATATTGAATTCTACCATGGCGTTGCATAGAACTTATATTGTCATAGGCACATCTAAAATCCATAAACAAATGGTGAGTATCAATTCTATATTCATATGTTTTTCCAAAACTTGTCTTATAAGGATTTTTGATGGACATTTGATGGATAGTTAATTTTTCTTTGTGGAACCTACACTGGTATTTGCCTATTATGTATTCACAATATCCTGGTAGTTGATTGTGAAGAATGTAGGCCAATATTTTGTAGATCGTGTTTAGGAGGGTAATTCGTCTGTAGTTATTACAAATTGTTTGATCTCCTTTCTTGTGAATAGGTACAATTATACCTATATTATAGTCTTCTGGTTATTTTACTTACTTCCAAATCAGTTCTACTACCCTACTTATACAACAGGTCAGATTTTTTGCTCATGATTTAAAAGCTGAGGAGGAATGCCACCTGTTGGAGGGGCTTTGTTTTCTTCCAATTTTTGTATTGCATTGGTGGCTTCTTGCTCTGTTGGAATGTTATCTTTCTTTCATCTTCCATATCTTCAAGCTGGATTTCTGCCTCTTGAAATGTCATCTCACTTTTTATATTTAGTCTCTCCTCAAAATTTTCTGCCCATCTTTCTATGATCTATATATGAATCTAGGTATGAATTCCTTTCTGTTCTGGTTAACCTTCTTGTAGAATTTTCGAATTTCCATTTGTGTGTTATACTGGTATGTCTCTAAGGGGTAAAACTACTAGTTTAACATTAAATTCCTACTGCTAATGGGTTACAGGTCTATATGAGACTGAAGTGCAAACAGTTTATAAGATGTGTAGTCTAACTGCTAACTACTTATATGACTCTTTGATTGCTTGAGAGTTATTATTGTTAAAATAATAAGTAAAGTTGCTAGTAGTAAACTTAGATAAATTGTTTGTTATTTAGTAATTATGTTTGAGCACTTTCCTTAAAACCATGTTTTTATCAGAATAACAACAATATATTCAATTAACCTGCGCTCCCTGGAAAATTTTGTGATTCTCCCAGAGGGAGTCCCTGATTTTGGAACCAGCTTTTTTAAAGTATTTAATATTAGGTGTTAACTTTACAATAGCAGTATTATTGTATACCAATTTATGATAAATGTATGATCTCAGACACTAAAGAGAATCCTTAATCCTTAAAATCTAGAAATTGAAATATTGATTGGTAGTTTAATATTTTGGATTAAATGAAGTACTCTTATAGTCAATCTCATTTAAATTTTACTATGTTCACAGTTAAATATATATGAATAGTATTTCTCTGTCTTGAAAAGAGAAAACAGGAAATATTATTTTCCATCTTTAGCTCCATTTGCCCATTGATATGCTAGAGTAGTAAGTTTTTTGTTCTTTTTTCATTCAATTTTTCCATTATTGTCAACTCTTAGAATAATCTCTTTAAAGATTTTCCAATTTTTTAGTATTAGGTTTCTCTTATTTCTTTAGAGCAAATGTTTTTGTATGTTTTCTTCTCTTTGCAATTTCTCTTTTTTATTGAACAGTAAATTCTAATAACTTTACTTGATCAATTAGCTGTATCATATCATTTTCATTAATTTTTATAGATATTGTGTGTGTGGTAAATATATTTTTGTTTGGTTGATTACATATATCTGTTGTAGTTGAGAAGACAAGTACCCTTAAGGATTTAGAAGCTGTGTTAGAAAGTAAAGAGCAGCAGATTCAAAATTATGAGAAAAATATTCAGGATGTAAGTATCAATTAAAACAAATTCTTTATAACCCTTATTACAATGTTCTTGACTTAAGTCACTAATCATTTTATTGTATTGAGGGCTTTGTTTAGGACCTACTAGTCAGTCTTTGTTGGATTTATGAATTAATTAAGTGTCATAATTATGTTACAACTTAGATATAAACAATTTATTATTGGTACTTAGACCATTTGATATTGAACCAGTCAAATTTGATCAAGATGTGTTTACATATAAATGAGATGATGAGATTCTCAGAAACTTG